GCGCCTCTACGCTGGCGGCCGGTCTGTGGCAACAGGTCAGCATGGCCGCGCAGGCCGCGGTCGCCTGGCGCATAGCGAGCGCCTACGTCCGTCAGGAGTCGCTCTCCCCGGCAGGATCCAGGCGAGACCCGGCAGCGGGGGGGCAGGCGCCCGCCAGCGCTGAGGCGACGGAGGAGGAAAGGTGGAGGCGGCGGCGGCGGTGGTGCCAGCGGGGCCGGGCGAGGCCGAGGAGCAGAGGGAAAACGAAAACGCCGAGGCGGCGACGACGGCGCTGCGCCCGAGCGCCGCCGGAGGAGGAGCGCCAAGGAGGAGGGGGAGGAGGAGGAGGAGGAGAAAGGGGAGGGGGAGGAGGAGGAGGAAGAGGAGGAGGCAGAGGCAGAGGCAGAGGCAGAGGCAGAGGCAGAGGCAAAGGGCGAGGAGGAGCCAGAGGAGGCAGAGGACGTAGCCGGCGCGTGCGCGCCGCGCCCGCGCGTAGCGGGAGCGCGCGCCGGGCGCGCGCGGGCGCGGGCGGCGCGCCGGCGGGGCCCCCTTCGGATCCCGGGGCCCCCGCCGCAGGAGGGGGAGGAGGAGGAGGAGGAGGAGGAGGAGGAGGAGGAGGAGGAGGAGGAGGAGGAGGAGGAGGAGGGAAAGCAGGGAGGATGAGGAGGGGGGGGGAAGGGAGGAGGGGGAGGGGAGAGTGGAGGAGGAGGAGAAGGAGGAGGAGGAGGAAAAGGAGGAGGGAGGGGAGGATGCGGCGGGGAGGAGGAGGAGGAAAAGGAGGGGACAATGAGGGGAGGAGGAAGAGTAGGAGGAGAGGTGGAAGAGGAGGGGGGAGAGGAGGGCCAGGAAGAGGTATCGTTTTCGGCCTCCTCGGGTCGCCTGGGGGCGAGGAGCGCCCAACAGCTTTTCGAACCACGACCCGCGAAACTCGACGAAGAACCGAAGTGCATTCAGCCTTCGACCCCCCCGTCCGTTGCTTGGCCGTTGCCACAGACTAAGTTAGAACCTAAGCGCGCGCAGCGCGCGCGCTTGCTTCTAGCGTGTATATTTATACATGCATGTATACATGCGTGTGCGTCGATGGCGTGCGTATCAGCACTAAGTCGTGGCATTCGGCCCTTTTCGCCGCCGGACTTGGGTCATGGATGAGAGGCTCCTGACAGTCACCCTGGGCCCTCGCGGCGGGCTTCTCAGAGCTTCCTGGGGTCCCCCCAGGGGTCTCTTAGGGTTCGCTTGGCTGCGCACAGCGCGGACAAACCATGTCAAGAAACACCGTGATTGCTTCCAGGGTGCCCGGGGCTTCTGGGTTACGATTGTTTTGCTATGGACAGCGTGCGTGACGTTCCTACACCAAAAACCAGTGATCGTCCTGGGATCTCAGGGTTGGGTTTCCTGTGGGAGGTTTCTTGTGGTCGAGTTCCTACCGTGCGTCCTTCGAAGTGTGGGCCCCGGCGGGCGTCCCATGAATCTGGCCCGTAGGGGGTTGCTTCGCATATGGTTGCCAACCGAAGGCCTTTTCTGGGTGTACCCCCTCGGCGGCGCGCGAGGGGGGAATGTGAAAAGGAGAGCAAGGCTAATTCAGAAGGCCGCGGGGTTTCTCACATGCCCCCTCTGGCCTTCTGAAAGGTTTCTTCTGTCTCCGGAGAAAAAATCAAACACTTTTCAGAAGGCGGAACGCCTTCCAAGCCTTCTCTGAGAAGACCCGCGCCTTCTCATTTCCCCCTCTCTGGGAAAGAAAAGGTACCCATACCGCTACCCTTGCCTCGATATCCCTCCCGTGGGCCTCCTGGGAAGCCCTCGTCGCCTCTTTGGGACTCGCCCCGAAGTCCTGGTCAAAACGCGCCCGGGAAAGGCGCGCAACAAGAAACCATGTGTTCTTCGTCAGGGTACCCCGGGTTTCTTCGTTCCGCGCGCTGCGCGGTGACTTCCCGCGGCCGTTGAAGAAGTTGCTGCGTTCAGGGTGTTTTGCGTTCCCCCCCCTGTGTGCATCTCGCAGGGTTGGGTTTCTTGCGAGGGTTGCTTGCGGCCGCGTCCGCACTGTAGTGGTGTTGGTGCCGTGTGGTTCCGCCCGCCCCTCGCTCGTCGCCGACACCCATCCAGAGGTGGGGCTCCGTCCCTTCCGCTGGGAGGGTTCGGATGCGGTCCCTGGGAGCAGGGATGCCCTTCCCCCCGGTCAGCCGCCCGCCGCCCCGCTCCGCACGACGGGCGCGCGACGTTCCCAGGGCCTCTCGGCCCAGCCTTTTCCCCCCGAGGGATCCGATCGGTCCAGCTGGGTATCGATCCCAGCCGGCCCGATGCGGTTCGATTCTGAGCTGTGTTCTCGCCATGGGGGAAGCAGGTGGAGGGTTTGTCAGAAGGGCTTAGGCGACCCCTCCTCCTCCTCCTCCTCCGCCTCCTCCTCCTCCTCCTCCCTCTTCCTCCTCCTCCTCCTCCTCCCTCCTCTTCCTCCTCCTCCTCCTCCCCTCTCCTTCCTCCTCCTCCTCCTCCTCCTCCTCCTCCTCCTCCTCCTCCCTCCTCCTCCTCCTCCTCCTCCTCCTCCTCCTCCTCCTCCCCCTCCTCCTCCTCCTCCCTCCTCCTCCTCCTCCTCCTCCGCCTCCTCCTCCCTCCTCCTCCTCCACCTCCTCCTCTCTCCTCCTCCTCCTCCCCTCCACCTCCTCCTCCCTCCTCCTCCTCCTCCTCCTCCGCCTCCTCCTCCTCCTCCTCCTCCTCCTCCTCCTCCTCCTCCTCCTCCCTCCTCCTCCCCCTCCACTCCTCCCTCCTCCTCCTCCATTTCCTCCTCCTCCTCTCTCTCTCCTCCTCCCCCTCCACCTCCCTCCTCCTCCTCCTCTCTCCTCCTTTCCTCCTCCTCCTCCTCCCCCCCCCCTTCTCTCCTCCTCCTCCTCCTCCTCCTCCTCCTCCCCTCCTCCTCCTCCTCCGCCTCCTCTGTCTCCTCCTCCCCCTCCTCCTCCTCCTCCTCCTCCTTCTCCTCCGCCTCCTCCTTCTCCTCCGCCTCCTCCTCCTCCTCCTCGGGTCGGCTACGGCCTCGGGGGAAACCGTGCAGAGGCAGGTCCTGGGGGAACGGGGTCCGTCTCGGAGCTCCCGGGGCCCTGCACGGGCCCCAGGACTGTCAGAAGATGAATCGGGGTGGTTGGGGAAACGCCCCAGGGTCAGGGCCCCCTGTCTCTCAGGACCCGCTTCCCCCATGCCAAGCCCATGTTTACGGAGTAAGGCCATACGTAGTGCTCGGTCTCCGTCTGGACTTGATCCGTCTTGATTTAGCCGATCCTGATAGGGGCCTGAGTCCATACGGAGGAACTCAATTCGAAGTGTTCGGTCTCAGTCTGGGCTTGCTCCGTCTTGATTTGGCCTATCCTGATAAGAGGATCAGTCCACACGGAGGAAGTCCATTCGGAGTGTTCCTTCTCCGTCTGGGCGTACCCTGCCTGGAAGTAGCAGTTCGCCTCTCCTGGATAGATTTCCATTATATTCCACCGATCCGAGGCTGTTCCATGCCCGCCTGTCGCTGTTCCGCAGCTGGTCCGATTCGATTTCGATTCCGTGCCGAGCAGCTCGGTCCGATGCACATTTCGATTCGATCCGACATACAGTGGGGGCCCATGCCAAGAAACACCCTGCTCGCCTCCAGGGTGCCCTGGGTTCCTTAGGTTTCGATGGTTTTGCTATGGAAAGCGTGACGTTCCCACACCAAAAATCAATGGACGTCCTGGGGTCTCAGGGTTGGGTTTCTTGTGGAAGGTTTACTGTGGACTGGCCCCTGCTGTGCCGATTCGATGCTGACTGAACTTGCCCTGGTCATCCGCTGTCCTCCTCTTCGGGCCGCGGCTCCCATCAAAAGCTTCCTCAGACTTGCCCTCCCTGACGTCTGGCCAGGGTCCACGCCCGAGGCCCTCGAGCGTCATGTCGGCGTGCTGGCCTCGGCTTTCCCAGACCAGTGCTCCGCAGCCGGTTTGGATCAAGTGGCTTTGCGTCGGGCGACTTTTGCCCGCAGCGTTCATTCGCTGCTCAGTCTGCGTCTTTGAAGGCACTCTCTGCTCGCCCCGCCAGTCGCAATGCAGCAGTACATGACGCAGGAGCAGTACGCCGCGGCTCTGCAGCAGGCCGCCTTGCAGCAGCAGCTGCAGCAGCAGCAGCTGCAGCAGGCGCAGTACGCGCAGTACGCGCAGTACTACGCGCAGCCGGCGGCGCCGTCGCAGACGACGACGGTGGTCTTGCCTGCCGACGCGTTCCAGGGGAAGACGTACCAGGTGCAAGCTCCGGACGGACGCCTCGTCAGCTTCCAGGTGCCCGCGGGGTGTGG